TGATAAATGTACATTAATAAATGCTTGTAGGTTAAAGCAAAGATGCCCTGAAAATGATGAAACAGTCTCATACAAAACAAAAAAAAATTCGAAGAAATTTTCATCCTCCAACCGTTCGGGGAAGATACTTTACGGCTTCTGGTCTTCTTGAATCAGCCGGAGATCGGCTTCTGCCAGCACTGCCTGCCATTCCTGCACCTTGCTCCTCTCTGCTACCCACTATCAGGGCGATGTCATCAGCTTGGAGAATGATCGTCAGTCCATGAGCCCCTTCACCAGGCATCTAATGTCAGGAAGACGAAGGGACCCAGAGCTAATCCTTCGTGCAGCCCAACCGTGATGTCTACCTTTTTCGTGAGGAGGGCTAGATATCAGGGTTGGCGCTTTCCTCAATACTCCTCCATCACTTCCCTTGCGATTTAGGTTCCGTCGTTGTCAAGGTAAATAACGGTGGAGGAGGTCCTCAACAGAGGATCATGTTTGCTACTATGAGAGATGAGGGGATCGTAAGCACGGTTCATCACCGTCTGCAACGATGCTGCTGCTACTTATCCGCTGTCATCTTCAGTTTCACAAGTGCCTCGAACTAGCATTGTTTTACATATTGTGTAATTTCACAAGTGCCTCGAATAGCGTTAGCGTACAAATGTACAATCTTATAACTGCATGGGATAAAATGTAAATGAAAGATGCTTGCTGATTTGGTTCGTAGCGATTTGTAGGAAAACGTAGGAAAGAAACGCGTCTTGCAAACGAATCGTAGGAAATGGGCAACGAACATCTACCCTGCATTAGTGTACATGCTTTGGAAACCCATGTAGTAGAGGAACAGTATATAGGAAATCCAACACGGAAAGATTCGAACCTTCTAGGCTTCATCAAATACTGCGGTCGGAAAGTTGTCATTCATTGAAACAGGTTCAGGTTTAAGACTTTGCTACGGCGCGAGAGGAATAGAGCTTTTTAAAGGCACCGGAAATTTCCTTGACGTTTTCCAGATGCAGATTTCTCGCGATTTAAAGAACTTTCAATTCTCGAGATAAGGCGAGCTTGAAAAAAAGCTCAGCTGATAGAAACTCGAGGTCTCATTCATTTGAAATCTGCCTTTGTTTTCTGAAATGATTGTCATTGGAGAAAGTTATAGTTCTTCTCAATAGAATGTACATTTGACGATTTTTCCGAATAGCGCGCTCCAGGCACAGCGCGCGACACTACCGCGGGTTGTTAGCGCCGATATACTGGGGCGCGAGGCTGTTCAACTGTGTGTAGCAATTACTTCTTCAATGTTCTACCTTTCGATCGATGTGGACAAAGGCTAGATGTTTTGGGAGGAAAAGCCAGCCTAGCAGAAATGGATTTAGGACTTAAGCCGCGGAGCATTTGCGTTGCAGCGACGCTGCGTCCCACTTGTACATCTGGATATAATATTTTTTATTGTGAAACTGGATGCGCGGAGGAAAAAGAAGGTATCGTAGCGGGGTCTCTGTGGACCTTTCGATATGAAATATTTGCTCATGTAAGATCGTGACCAGCTCCCGCAGCTCCAAGGCAACCACCTTTGTGACCACCTTCGTCACCCTTCGGTTGAAGATGGGGAAGAAGTACGTGTACAGGTATCCAGCATCCCTTCTTCGGCAGTTACCGTGTACAAGCAAGCCGGCGAGCCATCTTACCCGATGCTCTACAAGCGTACTCCATTCGAACCAACGGCCTATCCAACCTTCACTTTTCCACGTGCACTCCCCATCTCATTCTTCGTCCTGAGCATGATGGGACCCGCTGTGGCCTTTGTGTGAGTTGTTTTGAGAAAACTCCTCTGAAAGCCCCTCTAAAGAAGTATTCCCATCTCCACTTGACTTCAGCTAGTTGCCTTAAGATGGTGACGTTGCTCCTCACATTCTTTATCACTCTTGAGCAGCCCCATGCTGCGCTTTAGCCAGTTTTGAGACGAAATTCTCTGCGTTCTCGCTTTCCAGCTTCTCGTGCAAGGCATCCATCTCCGTGTTCTTCGCATTGGCGACGGCAACATTCACCGGTCTCCTGCAGGTTTTGTAGACAGCGAGGTCCTCAGGACTTCGTGTCTTCTGCATAAGCTTGCATGCTTGTATCTTATGCTTCGGCGACTCGCTGGATCTTCTCATTCCAAAATCATGCTGCCTTATCTTCTCTGATTCCACCTCGCGTCTCGCCGGGTACCTCCTTGGCACATCGCACGATGATCTTAGCTGCATTGCCCCAGGTCCGTTGCTGGTCCCTCAGGATCTGGGAGACCAACCACTATTAGCCTTTTGCGTTGACGGTTACTTATCACTATTTGGTCAACTTTATACCACTGGATTCTCCCGTTCTAACCTTGTAGGACTCATATCCCTTTACCTTTCCAGACCCTTTCTGTCACTGCGGTGTAGCCATCCAGGCACCTGCTATGGAGGTAGACCTTCCAAAACCGACTGACGGCTTCGTCAAGGATGAGACAGAACTCTGTCTTGTAATTTTCGGGCATACGCTCTCGGTGCATTACACTGTATATGTGTCACAGTACCCATCCGTGTCTGTCCACACAGCCATGATCCGATTCGCTGGTCCGGCTCACAGCGGGAACAGTCCTTGGAGTGACTCCGCTACCTCTATGGCCAAGCGCGTTCCGTTTGGTGTCTCTCTCATGTACTATTCTCCTGTCCTTAGCACCCTCCCATCGCGTCTCTTAAAGGCATAGAACTTGGGGTGCTCCTGGCGTCTTCAGGAACCAACTCTCGGTAGCTTCCAGATAGCGACCCTACATTCAGAGTCCCAATTCATACATCGGCTGAGACCGTTCCTCCTCGGGTAGTCTCGAATCTGACCACAGAACTCGTGCTGGGGCTCTGCGGTCTCACTTCCAGGTGACGTCTTGCTTTATCACTGATAATTTTTCGATTTTAGACATGTTTAGAACGGAGGTCTTCATAAACGGCCTGTCTATCTGATGCCTGAAGCCGTCTGTCAGCAGTTTTTGCAGCTGCTGTAAGGCATAATTTTAGCCCGTAGAGATCGAACCCGCAGTTTCAAGAGGTGCAGACATGAGCCTACACTGTTAACCACCTACCATCCATGCCCACACAATACAATGCTTCGATCTGTAAGTGAGACCATGTTCCCTCCTCGGTATCCCGAATCTGACCACCGATACTCGTGCTGGGGCTCTGCGCGCTCACTTCCAGGTGACCGTCTTGCTTTATCACTGATAATTTTTCGATTTTAGAACATGTTATAGAACGGAGGTCTTCATAAACGGCCTGATCTACCTGCTTGCCTGAAGCGCGTCTGTCACCATTTTTGCAGCTGCTGTAAGGCATAATTTTAGCGCCGTAGAGATCGAACCCGCAGTTTCAGAGGTGCAGACATGAGCCTACACTTTTAACCACCCTACATCCATGCCCCAAAGAAATGCTTCGATCTGTACTGTAATATTTCTTCAACATGAACCGAATAAACCTTTCCCTCCAATGCTTCTGCATTATCGAGTGAGATTATTCAAAATGATATACCAGAGAGTATCGGAGGGATGAAGGCTTTTCATTTTTCATTATAGTGTAATTGCCTCATCTAGATCGACCGTTGAAGTGAAATTAGCATGTCGTCCCATAAAGCTGTTCGAGAGTTTCATCGGAATTGATCACAAAGAAACTATCCCATGAGACTCGAAAGCACAAATCAGTCATGTTCAGCAGCGGGCTTCTCAGCGGCTTCTGATCTCGCTGCGAGTCAATTTTGTCACACTTCAACCCAGGTGGTTTACGTTGACGGGAGAAGCCAGCTCTTCGGATCACATCTAGGTTCCTGAAAAAGCCATAGATCTAAGTCTAGGCTGACATTCTCCACTAGACCCTGCGTTCCGCTGCCGATGCACCTGGAGCTCCTGTAGGCTGTAAATGATGCTGGAGACGATCACATCTATTCAGCAGTTCCGTTGGTACATTGCACTGTAACAATCTACAAATTTGTCGCGTTTCCGTTCTAATTGCAACTCTACCGGTTACACCCTCGAGGCATCATTTCACCCTTGCTCATCTTTCATGGTATATTTCCCATAGCTTCTCAGCACTCACAGATAACCCATAATTCAGCATTCTTGCGAATTTTGCAGCGCAAACTACGGCGTACAGCATTAATTACGAACAAAATACGTCAAACTTGGCATCTGCTAGATGTTTCAGCCTTGTGGTTCACTGCCCATGTCGGCTAATCGGCTCATCGCATTAGACGTGTGGGCTGAGAAGCTGTGGTAAACATGCTGAAAAGTGAGCTAGGCTGAAACGGTGCCGTATTAGCGTGGTCAGCCTTAGAGGTGCGCGCACGCATTCCTGCTTGTAGCGAATCTGCACATAACGCAGCATTGTTGTGGAACTGTGATAGAACATTCCTTGATCATTGAAACGCCTTCTTAAAGGCAAACTCCGGGATTAAATAGGTGCTATCAGCGCTTTGTAGTGACAGCTTAGCTGCGGAACGACGTGAAAGTGAAAAGGAAAGCAAGAGAAATCCTTGGGAACGTAGCAATTAAGGCCTTAACCTTTAGTAGGGTCGGATGTGGTACGATGGCGAGAAAGGGAGGTTAAAGAAGACAAAATACGCGAGGGTGCACGCTGATCTCTACATCATTGCATGCTGATCTTACCACTTCGGTGGGTGGGCAGCGTTGGAAATTGGATCGGTGGTTGAAGGAACCGTAAGGAATAGCGCCCTAACCACGCAATTTTTGCGACGAAGCTGGAGTGATCTAGGTAGTTACAGACCCTGCAATTTCCGTAGTGGAATCCCTCCTACTAGTCGAGCCAATCCCGGGGTTTGCCTTTAATGTTTCATTTGACTCCAGTATTGTTGAAGAAAATGACACGTACTGCTGTTGCTGGAAGAACAGAAGTATTCAGAAACTTTTCAAGGACCGGTACATGGATACCAAGTTCATTGATGTATTTTTCATTAAGGGATGGAGGATAGTTTCGTACAGCAGATTAGCTATGGCATACCATAATGCTGCTGTGCGAATGCTAGTGCTTGGTATAGACGGAATCGCGCACGATACTGGAAACTTCGTGAAGGCAAATTTCAACAGGAATTTATTAAAATTCTGGTACGTCTTCTAACGTCAGTTCCATTGATTGCGTTTTCATGTGATTTCAATATTTCAGGTATAATATGCCTGATGAGTACTGGAGCAAAAGTACCGTTACCAAAAGATTGACACCTGGACTACAACGTGCATATAAAGCATTAGATGTGAGTTTACCAATGTGTAGCTTAATTGCATACAAGGTTTATTATTTAGTTTTATTTTTGGGTATTGTTTGTATGATACCTGAATGCTTTATAGTTTCCTATTTTCGAAGCGGCGTATTATTTCTATTACTTTATTTTGTTCATTGAATATTGCTGTGGACGTATTAGCAAAAAATTTTTGTAATAGACAAGGCATCGACGATTTTGTATTAGGCAACTTCCACACTTTTACAACTTCCTCTTTCTTTTTTACAACTCTTTCTCTAACTCTTCATTGCCGCTGGCTTTACCTTCTCACATGGTTTTTTTCGTGCTTCGCTCAATACTTATCACCAGTTCTGCAAAATCTTATAACTATCTCATCCGCAAGTGCTTTCATCTTCTCTTTTTAAGCTCTTTGTTATTGAATCCTCTGCCTTCTAAGAACGTTTTTTTAAGGATTTTCTCCTCTCCAAGTCGAGATTCTTTTATTGTTCTTCTACTTTAAAACCTCTATTTTTGCATGCACGATAGTTATGCTCTGTTTATATTTGGAAGTAGACCTCGCACTTCACAGGGGGGAGGGGCAGAATTATGGTGACTAAGAAATCATACAACTAAATACGAATATTCGGAAAATCAAGCAAATCAAGTTGAAGAAGGTGCTAGCCTAAGCTTTGAGTCGACCAGCCGTTCGTACAGCTTCATGGTATGTGCAGTCGTCTTGATACTGTGGTAATTGGAATACCCTGGCGTGACCCTTCTCCTTGAAGATTTAGGCGATAGTTCTTGTTCTCCAGGCATCCGGATCCTTCCTTCGCTGTTACCGTGTTCGAAAATCGAATACGCCAGCTGGCCCCGCACTGTCCGAGCGTCTTCCATGCCTCGATTGGCACCATCTGACCCGGCCGCCTTTTTTTCCAGCGTTCCTATTTCGCGACGGACCTCATCCTCTAGCCCTCTATTTATGTACATACAAAAACAATATTTATATTGCAACAACCCAATAGTAGATAATAGGGAAATCACGAGGTGTTTCATTAGCACCATCGACAGCATCGCGAAAACAAGTATGTCGAGGTTAGCCTAGTAAACAGAATATCTACTTCATGGTTTTGCTGCGAAATTTTGATTTTTTTTGAGTGAGCAACAAAGTGTCGTGAAGAGGATCCACATAAATTCTCCCAAGCATTTTGAAATATTTCACTTTTTGTCAATGACCCAATTGAAACAGGTGAACTATGGGTAGATTTCCATTACTTTTTAGGGGCGACCAAGCACGCGCAAATTGCTCGTCTTGCTCTTGCAAGACGTGCCTGACGATATTGACCAGGCCAAGAAGGAGCTGGATAGGATGAAGGTGAGTTCAAATTTCCAATGGTTTCGTAGTAAACGAGTTGCGGAGGAAAGTCTAATGCTTCGTGGCTCCCTATGGTTGGGGGATACAGAGTTCCACTTTTTCGAAATACATGTGTTGGGGGCGCACTGGAAAAGAAACAATCTTTGGCCAAAAAAACATCGTTTTCGAGAAACGCTGAAGAAGGAATTGAGTATGCTTTAACACATTGACGACAACGGAGTTCTGGCGTTCTTGGCCACGTGGGACTGCGGCGATTTTCCTCGCTCAGGTCGATCAGGAGGGTAAAGAACAACGAGGGGGTCGTATTCGGCCGAACAAAAGGGGAGGGGGTCGTATCCGGAAAGACGGGGCTGCAATGGGGCTTTGAAAGTGCAGTGTTTGGCCGTGCACTTTCACGCTCTAATGTTCTCTAGAGCTCTGCACAGTGCATCTGTAGGAGAGTCACACAGACAAGAGCTCCATGGAAGCATGAGCATGCACAGCGTCATAAGTCTCACTATCAGCCATTTTTATCCTTAATACACGGACGACCCTTTCGCTCACAGGATATGTCAAGGTTACAATAGCCAAAAACAAAAGCAAAAACATGGTTTGTCTTCGATGATCGAACATTCGTGAAATCCTAAAGAAAACAAATTGTAAAGCACTTCATGGGAAAGTGAAACAAGAGTACGATATAACAACACAATGCAATTCAGTCACGATACTAATAGATTGTTTAGGAAAATGGAGGACATTCTAATGCGAGTGCGACTTCTAACCACAGACAGGTGCACGGCGCAAACCCGAGTAGGCGTTTTCTAATAGAAACGCCTTCTCTGTCAGCGGCCGTGAGCAGACAAACTCTCTGAAGAGAATTTCGATGTTTTCAAATTGATCTAAGCGGAACAAAGTGTAGCGAACTTGCTGAATTGACTTCTGGAGAGCCCTTAGGAAAATCGAGGGAATAGAGAGAAAAAATTCAGGAAAATTCCACACTTATTATAAAGTACTCTTCAAGTAGATTATAACGGTCTCTACCGCTTTTCATCGACTTTGAAGGAAGTTATGGGCCTGCAAAAACTGCATATTCGCGGTCCATGAAAATGGCTTGAAATAAATAAAGGTGACAAAAACGGAACAACGGGACTATTTTTTTTGAGAGAGAGTTCGTTGGAAAAAAAGTGAGCTACTTATTTGAAAGCTGTAATCTTCTAGTTACTAATTTGCCTTGACCATCTGCAAAAAGTTGATTATGAAGAAAGTTAGGAGTGCTTGAATGTCGAAAACTCGCGTGTGCACAAAAAACGGAACAACAGGACGATTTTTTTGGAATATAGAACATCCGCAACATTTCAGATACTTTTCAGGAAGGAAACTATTAGTAATTTTGAAATTTTGGTGTCCGGTTCCATGAGACCGCTTCTGGAGAAAAATATAACCTTCTGAATGGAGGGGTTTAGATCGCAACGTAATAGCTAGAAGGATTAGTTTTTCAGATTATAAAATAAGGAAAATTGAGAGATCGAAAAAACTTGGTAGGCTTCTGAATTTAAAAATCTTGATTATTATCATTGGTTCACGCGAGAATTTGGAAATTCCATCTATTTGAGGAATGACACTTCATGTTGCCTCGATTCCCTCCTCTGAACGAGACAAAGCGCGCGGATTGACCATGGTCCACCACTTGTCCATGTCGGTGACTGTCCATACATCAGTGTTGAGAATTAAATTATGTGAAAAACATTATAGATAGTCCGGGGGAGTCGTACCGACCCTCCGAAAAGGGAGGGGGTCGCAAAATTTTTGGAATTTGCGCAACGCAGGGTTGACCCTGGTTATAGGTCATGAGTTGTCAGGAAATGTGCTGCTGATGGTGCTTTAGATCAGGATAACTAATTTCAGGAAGAATCTGAGGCACATGTGGAAGTATTTGTGGGCAGTCGCAGGGGACATGCGGATGAGCGATTTGTGTCAATGTCTACGTCGGGACTTACATACAAGATTCCTGATAGTTCGTACGTAGAAAGCAGTGTAAGCTTTTCAGTCATTGAATTTTCCACGCAAGTTCATTCTACAAATTTTTTCTAACAAGGAAAGGTCATCAGATCGGTCCGGTCATTTGCAATGAGGTGTAACATAAGCATTCGTCTTGAGATGATAAGCTAGAAACCGCTTTTCCTATCTGCTAAACGGTGCTCTGAACGGAGTTATGGAAGTTTTCCCTTCAATTGTACTTAAACGCTGTATATGAGCGCTATCATTGGAGTCGTCACTATAAGCCAAGCGGGAAGACGCACGTGGTGGTTGACGTGGCGTAAGTGGTAACGCTCCAGGCTTGTGGGCGAGGGGTCATGGGATCGGTCTCTCGTTGTGTTTGTCGTTTTGCCTTTTTGAACCAGAAAGGCTTTTAGCGACAGTATCTCCTCAATTCCTGCCTTTACCTGCCTGTGTAAGGAGTTAGGGAGCACCTCTGCGCAGGTTGAAGCTATTTTTAATTAATATTTGTCATTACTGGAAACGACGCTCATAGCCCACTGATAAGGTGTTTTTGCGGTAAACGAGTATGATGTTCGTTATCAGAAGACCGAATTTCACCTGGTTACAAGTTTTCAGCTGAGTCTCGAGATTTTGACCTACACTCGAGAAAGGGCAGTCAACATACAGTCAAACGAGAGAAGGTATGAATCGAAAACTAACTGGAAAAGTACCCTCCCTGAATTTCGATGCAGAGTGATGTAAATCATTTCCATTATGCGGAAATGTGAGCCGTTGAACGTTTCTCTCTCCAAAACCTTGGTTGGAAGGGCAATTCCCATGCCAAGAGTTCAACGATAGGTTGATGATATGATGGTTGACTCACCTCATTTTTTACGGTTTGTTCAAAGTCTCAGATTTGGTAGGAAACTCATCTCCAAGGGTAGTTTGATCTCCTGAACCCTAATATCGCCCCTGTTTTCCGCGAAAAAGCCTGTCACGTGCATTAGGGCACCATGTTGGACATTACTGCCCAAACCTGCAAGGAATTGCTCGAAATTTTTTCGTACAGGGAACTAATGGCAAAGTTGACAAATTAGGAAGTTAGAAGCTTTCTGGCTACATCTTCACGAGACACAAAAGGAACAGACTCTCCGACGAACCGTTCCCACGACCTCTTGCTTGCGAGTTCGGGGCACTGCCACCGCGCTTCCTTGCTTTATAACTACGTTCAAAAATCGTTTAGCAGATAAGGAAGGCAGTTCTGAGCTCAGCGTCTCGAGGCGACTTCAATGGTATACGACTCATTGCAAATGACCGGACAGGCCCGATAACCTTCCCTCGTAAGAGGCCGAAAAAGCAGGTATAATTTCCATCTCACGAGCGCAATTTTCTACCTCGCGCCTTTGTTTTCTCTGAAATCAAGTGGACTCAATGGAAGTAAGCATAAGCAAAGAAAATTTTGCCAGACAGCAAAGTCACTACTACAACGTGGCCGAACGAGTCGTCGTTATAAAGGCATTATGCCGTGGTCATTGAGCTCAAATAAGTTCCCACTACCTATCTCGAATTTATTAAGGGGGTCGTTCAGAATTTCTTTGTGCTTTCTATCGTGGAGGTAGGCGATTCCATGAATGAAATACACAACGTCAAATCAGGAAAACTTGAGACTACGGCAAAATTGCTTCCGTCCTTTTTTTAGCATTTGAAGGGCGAGTTTGTGAAAATGAATCACAGCTTTGTGTTTTATGTTGGCGCTCCTATGTCATGCAAAAACCATTCCTGAATAGCAACCCACAACGGCATTCCTGGTTGGTTATGAAGCCGGAAACTGCAGGTAGCGGACCACCGACCAGAGGTTTTGAGATCGACTCCTTAGCGAATTTTCCCTTCCGCATTCCATGACCGTCTCTAAAAGAACCCAATATTCACTCCATCAGCTCTTCCCTGGTGCTGCCCATATGAGTAGTTTTCAAGTAAATTCTTTCAGGTTCATGTACTTCTTGTCGATGAGAGCGTATGGGGTCCGCTGAGCATGCACCAGGGACGGTGGTAAAGTGGCTTCAACTGCTAGCTCCCACATGACCATAAGCTCGTGGTAACTTGGTAATGGCTTCCAAACGAAGTTACCCTAAAATATGCGTAGAGCACCTCTGTAACCCCTCCGAAGATTCCCCGTCAGAATGGTCGAAGTGAGTTCGAACTCACTCGGAAGTGGGGGAGGCAGACGACATCACGTTCTAATAAGAGGATAAGCAGGGTGGTCATCCACAAACTAACATTGATGGCGGCAGAGAAAAAGGAAATAGCGCGCGCGGTGGATTGCGCAAACATGCTGCCACTTCATCTCTAAAATGTCCTCCGGAGGACTCTTTAGGGATGGCGATCTTCAAACAGCCAAGCTGTGTGGGTCAAAGCAGTGTGTTCAAAAGGGAAAGGAAAGCACCTTGTTTCGGTTCGTCAATGGTGCAGCGCCTGCGGTCCACTTTGGTGTTGAGTCGGTCACGAGATCGATAACACTAGATCTCAAAGTCTTTGCAATTTTTGTGGGTTATTGTTCTTTCTCTACAACTCTTTCACCGTCGTTTAGAAGGGCTCCATAGTGCAGTGGTAGCGATGCCGCTCATGGGACAGTGCACCGAAGGTTCAAACCCGTGTGTGACGCGACTTTCCAAGCAACGCGGTGGATGCTTACCACTTCACTACGGCAAATTGCCATTGGCTCAATGGGGACGTTCCACGCTGCCGCTGGCAAGGTTGCTGGATCAGCACCACTTGGAGACTAAGATTTGCAAAAACATCCATTGCATACCTTTCCTCAACATCTCTTCCAGTCGTGTGGGCGAGTGATCCCCGCTGCAGTGGCCAAAAACTCGACTATGAGCCCTACCATCCAGGACTCAAGTCCGAGAGGGATGCAAATTTTGCAGGTCGGGTGGTGAGGCTGGCGGTTTCAACTAGGGTCATGTCCATGTTTCCACGTTCTCTATTCCTCGCCAATGTGGTGTAAATCACCACATTTTATTGCCAGTCTAGGGCCCTTTACTACCGTCCTAGGTGTTTTTTGTCCAAACAAGTATAATAGTTGTGCTCAAAAGGGTAAATTACCCTTGTAGGCTGACCAGTTTAGCTCTGCACGCTACCGCGCACGTAACATGGTGGGCTTCGTTGAGACTGGGTAGCCTGTGGAACGTTAGGTCCCACCCTAAAGTGAGTTGCATCGGGGAACGCGCTAGCCGACCTCCCCATAGTCTCTACATTTTGCTGAAGCTCACCGCTTGATATGCGCGATAGAGTGCAGAAGTAAAGTGGTGCACGTAAACAACCACCGTGTGTTGAATGTCAGGGTAATTTAGCGGTCGAAAGATATTTTAATAAAAATATCCATTATCATGTTTCTTAAAACATCCACAATACATTCCTAAGAACTTTGAAAAGAGTAGCGGTCGAATGTATTTTGAGACGCTGATAGGCGATGATATAGAAATATGAATTTGGTTTTTGCTAGTACTCGGTTTATTTTTATGTCCTATGCCATTATCAGTCCTTATCACTATCTGACCTCCACCAAACATGTTCCCATCGCTGCACATCACTTCTTGGAACCAACGCTCCACAGCTGCTGGGACGCGCGCTATGGATATGGTGAAATTGGCGCTATGGCGCAGTTATTAAGCCCTTATCAGCCGATATCACTTCCATAAGCTCTTCACCAGGACATCTAGTGTCAGGAGGAAGAGGAACGGGCTCAGAGCTTACCCTTGATGCACCCCAACCGTGATGTACCTCCTTTGTTGGGCCATGTGGTGTGCGTATGACTGCATTGGCCCCGTCGTGCATGTCCTTCACCAGCGAGACCAGGTGTTCTGACACGTTCCGTTCCCTAAGCGCTCTCTATGGTATCAGTCGTGGTAGCCGGTCAAACGTCCTCTCCAGGTCGAGTAAGGCTAGGTAGCAGGGTCGGCGCTTTTCTCGATACTTCTCCATCACTTCCTTGCGATGAAGATGGTATACGTTGTAGACCTTTCGGGCATGAACCCGAACTGTTCACGGAAGATCGGGACGAATTCCCGCAATTTCGAGTTGACCAGGCGCTTATACAGTCACGGTATGCGCTGTCAACTTGACACCGCTGTAGCTGGAGCAGTCTAGCAGTCCTTTCTGCTTGATAGGGACGATAGTACTTGTTCTCCAGGCATCTGGCATCCTTCCTTTCGCAGTAACGTTGTTGAGAAATCCTGTGAGCCATCTTATCCCGTAGTCACCGAGCGCCTTCCATGCCTTGATTAGCACTCCATTTGGACCAACTGCCTTCCCAACCTTCATCTTCGCTACTTCTCGACCAACCTCATCATCTGTCCACAATGCGTTTGAGCCACGATGCCTCTGCTTGTGGAGTTCTTGTGCGGGAACTCCTCGCTAAGAAGTGTTCTGTGATACTCCTCCCACCTCCTCTTAACTTCGGCCGGCTTCCTCAGGATGACGCCGTTGCTGTTTTACGTTCTTCAACCCTGATATCTTGAGTGGCTCGGTGCCGGACCTTAGCCAGTCTGCTGCAGATTGCTAGGTCATGGGCTGTAGCCAGGTCCAGAATCCTTTCTCCCTCAGCGTTCCTCGCACTACTGGCCCTTTTACTATCTTATGAAGAGATGAAGCTCAATGAGAGAATGGAACTTTGTTGCAGTCAATCCAATGTGGTTAGCGTTGAAGGTGCGATTGAAAATTCTACGTTTCTTTTCTTGATTACTGGTCGATTATAAATCAGTCAACGTTCTTCTAACCCACATTATCCAATCGCGTAATGGTGCCTTTGGATGTTATCCTTTTCAGATTTTCTCATCAGCGATCTCGGACACATTGTTGCGTCTGCACTGCACAAGATAATTGGACCTCCTGCTTGATGTTCTGATTATGAATTTACTGCTAGTGTTTAAGTGAATTCTTTCAGCGGATAACTAATAAAGATTGGACACTTGTTTTGCACATAGAGCTATGCATCGTCCTCTATAGGTTAGGCAGAACTACTGGTGCGCCTATCAGCTTTGAACGTACTGGTATTCTTATTGCACACATTCCCGTTCTATTCGCTCGTGATGTGTTGCCTGAACATACTGCTACTAGCACACACTGATTACAAAGTGCTTTTGCTTTTCGCCTTGCGAATTGCAACCATGAAACTCCAACACAGCACTATGTTGAACGCATTTTCGTCGGTTTCACAAATTTTCAAACTTTGTTCAGACAGCAATCAAACTTGGTAATTGTTTACAATTATGAGCGGGTTTCATTTTAGAGAGGGTTTCCTGTGAATTCGGTAGCACTGCTTCAGGGCCCCGCCGAAATTTGTTCGGAAACAGTGCGCCGAGCTGATCCCCGACTCAGGCAATCTCGACGGATGCTCTAATTCAATTGTACTTTCAAGTATGGGTTTCCTTGGTCAGAAAAGTGTTTTCTGTTATATGCTCAAAGTTGAACCCTCTCATAACGGTGCTTCACGGTGCTTCTGCGATACTAGGAAGAACTTGGTGGGAAATACCATACGATGCGTTTTCCAAATTTTTGAAAAACCACTTAGAAGGCTGAAGGCGGGTATTTCGAGAACCGATGATACTGCAACTGCAGATCATTTCGAACTGCAGATCATTTTATAAGTGACTAGTTCAGCTCCTCACATTACCG